GGAAAAATATAGTATCATTAAGATTAACCCCCAATCTAGCCTTTCCCAACACAGCGACTTCCGACCCATTAAATTGTCTGACACACATAGCCTCTTTTTCCAGTTTACCCCCAGGCCAATACTTATAAAAATCCTCCTGCGACATTAGAGAAATACTAGCCCCGGTGTCAAATAGCATTACTATATTCCTATGGTCAATCTTCAAACTAACCCTTGGACACAAACATGGGCCATCTAATCTTTCCGTCATTAAAATATCATATGTTTTAATCAGAGAATCAGCGTTTATTTTATCTAAAATAATAATTTCATTGGCATTCTCATTGCCCCTTAAATTCAACTCAGAATTTAAATTTTTATTACTGACAATTACCTTTCTTTTAACAAGATTTGTGGGACATCTTTCCCAAATAAAATTCTTAACATCCCTTCTAAGAGAATAACGGATAATATTCCTCGGATATTGTTCCCACCTAAATCGACTAACCTCCCTCTCAGGGAAATTACGAGAACGATTTCTTATTTTAATTCTATCATTTCCCTCATTTCGACTAATAATATTAAATGTTTTTTTTATACAAATTTTTCCGAACTCTCGGAGCCCCGACTCCTATATGATTCACCTTGCAATCATATAGTCAACACGAATTTCGTGATACTTCCATGCAGTCCACAGCTACATGTCCCAGTCTTTTACATTTAAAACATATTCGAGATTCATTCACCCTAACCACCTTTACACTAGCATTTCCTATTTCCGATCTCTTTAACGGAAATCCATCTTTGAACCTTTGTTCTGGGACCACGCAGGTATCCCTTTTATGTCCTCTCCATCCGCAACGATGGAAAATGATCATTTCAACAAATCTTTTGTTTCCTGACAATCCTTTATTTTCCTCGTAATCATCAAATTTCTTATTCATATTTCTATCATCCACCTGGCTCTTAACCGGACCTTTGCTCTCCTTCATCAACGCATTGATGGCTTCTTTCATTTCCAGGAGGATCCTATCTGACCTCTCCCCAACATTTCCAGCCTTGATTTCCTCTAAAACATCTTTTAGATTACTTTCCAAGTCTGCTATTTTCTTCCCATAAATATCCGATATTAAATTAAAATACGTTTCTGCCATTTTCTTTTTATAAACATCTGACACCGCAGTGTCCTTCTTCCAACTGCAATATATGCCTGCCAGTACCGCAGTACCCCTTTTTACCAAATATTTCGCCAAAATCACCAATATATAAATTATTACCATTATTCCAATTATCATTCCCTGTTTAATTAAATCCAATTCATCAAAATTCTTATACAAAACTTTAAGACCCAAATTCTTATATAGTGAAATCTTAGCAGCCACGCTGTGATCATCATTATACCTAAAAAAATAAACCATTTGGTCATGAATCTTTTAGTCAATAATACTACTCAATTACAAACACTTTAAATACTTGTAGAAAATATTAATACAGCACCTTAAATAAAACTTCACTGGCAAAATCGTATAATGGTTAGTACAAAGGCGCAGTCAAAAATTCTAAAAAAATTATACAATTAAAAAATTTTTGAATTACCTTCTAAACCGAATAACTCTTAGGAAACTATCAGCGTCACAAGGCACCACTAACAAAATTATGACTTTACTTGAAACCTAATCTTATTGTTTTACGGCTAACTCAAAATTTACACAATCTTTTTCTATAACTCAATTTATTTTTTCTACGAAGAACAAAGTAATAATTTATTATCCATAATTATATATATAAAAAAAAATAAAATTTTCTTCCAAAAAAATAATAATAATCCTTTTTTTAATTTTATAAAAAAAATCTAAAAAAATATATCACGTGTCTTATTATTATTATAATTATTAACCAATCAAACTTATTTTTATCGGTTGATTGGATTACGCATAAAAATGTATAAATTCGTATAAAAATACGACAATTACTATATTACTTTATCCTAACGTAAATTAAAGGATAAATTATTTTATTCAAGTAAAACACCACGATATTGTTGTATCAAATATATTAAATGATAATTAAAATGATATGATAATTTTTAATGTAAAAATATAATCAACAAAATTATAGTTATAATGTACATTTATATCTCGGATAAACGATGACAAAAACATTATATAGTATATAAAAATTGTATAATTATGGATGTATATTAAAATTATATTGCCAAGGGAATGAAAAGGATTTAAATTTCTACGAGCGGGCACCCACTGATTCTTTAAACTAACCCGATCGCCCTCTCATTGTTTAAAAATTATTTTTCAGCTTCCCCATTGTCTGAATAGGTGGGAAGGTTAAACCCCCGTCTATTCCAGGCCTCTACCCCTTATTGCCAATCCATATTTGCGAATACTATTCCTCTAAGACAATATCGCGAATCAAATATCACAAGTTTTTTTATAGCCAAACTCTTAAACGAGTTTTTTAAAACGGAAACTTGAAACCTTTATTATGAAAATGGTCTAAAAAACAGATTCTCTCTCAGTCGATCCTTTCTTATTTTTATAAAACTTGATAGGCATAATAAGGCGAATGCAGGGGTCATATACACTAATGGGAAACGTCCAACGGGGTCCCTATAATTCCAAGTTTGGAGCCTCTCATGGGCCCCCACAAAATATCTTGTAGTTGGGTTTTTTGAGGGCTTATATAATATATTGGAAGGCTTAATAAATTTATATCTTATTACTACTAACTAACAAAACCAAATCAGCAAATAAGTAATTATAATAACTTATACTTTAACATATATTATCTGCAACATCTTTTCTTACAAGGCTGCTATTTAATACCAAAATTTGATACATGCCTTTATTAATAAGGTGGTGATACTTATCAGATAATATGGTTATCAGTAGAAATAAAATATTAATATTATTGCTTTATTTGTATAACTTTTACAACATGAAAATTCTCTTTCAAGTTTCGACTGATTTACAAATATTTTAAAATCCGGATTCAAGCTTTCTAAAACGTCAAATAACATTTGAGCGGGAATTTTTATAGATGATGGGTATAACTTTAACAAATTACAAAATTTTGATAATAAAAATCTTAATCACTTTAATTTTTTAAAGGTAGTATGTCTAATCGTAATTCCATACTTAGTTATCATTTTAATACTATAAATAGAAGCAAAATTATAAAAAAAAATAATTTAGGTTAGGACTTAATTGCAGCGCTTAAGCTTTTCAATGTTAATTTTTATAAAAGATTTGAAAATTAATAAAATATATCAATCAAAGGCTCAATCGATCAGATACTGCAATTAGGCCTTAGACGTTTAAGAAAAATTAATAAGACATTTTTTTTAAACAACCTTACTTCAACAACTGTTATTAAAGTCACTAATGTCATTTGTTGAAAATTTTAATTATTCTGAATGAATATGTAGAAAATTCATCTTTCAAGCACTTTATATAATATAGATTGGGGATGCCTTAAAACTAAATTAACTACTTTCTAAATTTGAAATAAATTTTTGCCACAAGTAAAGTTTTGAATTTACCAAAAGGTCCGAAGTTATTGGGAGGGATTGCAATCGAGTACTTCTCGTTTCATTTGAGCTTTCAGTAACAAATCCATATCCATCTTTGCTGTCCCATCACTCACCTTATTTTTAATTCGTATCGATGTTTTTTGAAATAGTTTGGGGATTTAAATCCATAGTTTATTCAAACCACAATTGTTATTTAAAACCACTTGGCACTCATATATATGGCTTTATCTCACCTTTATCTTGGGTACTCATCTTACTAATTTTTAGGCAGTTCACTGAAATAAATTCACGATTTTTTAGGCAGTTCATTGAAATAAATTCACGATATTGTCATAGCTATAAAGTGACACAGAATGAAATTCGCTGAATTGGCCTCGTTTATTACCGGCTTTAAAATTCTTTCACAAGAAGTGTTTGGCGATTAAAGTTGCTCTATATTAACCTGATATGAATCCTTACATATATAAAAGTCAACTTTGAAGTGTATCAAGGGCAATATCTCTACAGTATTTTAAAGTCTCCACCTAGTGTATTATTTATGACTTGTTTTAATAATATAATTACCATCACCCTCTCTAATATGGGCTAAAATAAACAGTATATGTTGTATTCCATATCAAATCAACTGAAGATTCAACCCGACCCCCTTCGATTTTTTTTAATATTTGCATGTTAGTAGTATATACACTAACTAATAAAAATGTAAAATTTTACTTTGAAAATCGCCTTACTTCATGAGATATGGCCATCTTTAGAAACGCGGAAATTCCAAAATACACTATATTTAATTTTAAATATCTCAAAAAGTAATTAAGCTAAAGGCATGATTTAAATTTTATTAAATAGCTCTTTAATATGACATAAAATATTTTATTGAAAAAAAGTCTATTTCCAAAAACCGGAAATGGCTATAAAATAAAAATTGCTCTTTTTTTCTTTTAAATTTTTTACAGATAGACATTATACTTCTTAGTATTTGTATAAAATCCTAGATTGGGACGAGTACTGGGTCAATAGTTACTTTAAATATCAGTAGTATGGCTTAAATTCTATATTATACCAAATATAAAGTGGGCAATATATGTGAATAATAGCATTAAACTAAAATCTAAAAATCTGATTATTTAATAAAATAAATTTTATATCATAATAAAGAGCTATTAGAGCTATTAGAGCTATTAGAGCTATTTAATAAAATTAAAATCATGTCTTTAGCTTAATTACTTTTTAAGATATTTAAAATTAAATATAGTGTATTTTGGAACTTCCGCCTATCTAAAGATGGCCATATCTCATGAAGTAAGGCGATTTGAAAAGTAAAATTTTACATTTTTATTAGTTAGTGTATATACTACCAACATGCAAATTTTTAAAAAAATCGAAGGGGGTCGGGTGACTTTTTTTGGTTGATTTAATATGGAATACAACATATATTTTTTTATGTTATTATTTATGCTATATATTATTTGGTTAGGAATGGATATATCACCTCTTGATTTAAACATGATTGGAAAATTTACCGACAGAGTTATAGCTTTAGGTGAATTTAGGAAAAAATTATCGGTCTACCTAAACGATAAAATGAAATGCGTCGCACCAAATCTTTCGGAATTGTTAGGGGATACGGTATAATATTTTAATATATTGTCGAGTTTTTAAAGAAAATTTGCTTTATAATTAATGCATATTTTTTGATATTTTAAAATTTAAAATGTATTAGGCGTAGACTTGTGCGCCGATGTCTTAATCGACGGCGGCGTTATTTTTTTATTTTTTCGGCGGCGCGCCGGTTTCGCCGCCGCCTTTTAAATTGTCGGCGGCGGCGGCGCGATATTTATTTAAAAAATTTTTAATTTATAAATCAAAGTATTACATTTTTTATAATTCATTTGGGCGCTCTTTTCTAACACATTGTTAACATAGTTTAATTCATTTTTTAAATTATTTCCTGTCTCACTTCAATTTAAATTATTTTCTCATTCTCAGAAATAGACTATGGAATTGCATTTTTACTCAGATCAGAGTCATAGAAACAACACATATTAGTAATATTCTATTGATTTTTTATAACAAATTAAAATAAATTTGGAATGCAAGCAAAATATGAAATATAATAAATCAGAATTCAGATTCAGCAAAATTATAATTGTCATGAATAAATAGTATTTTATCAAGATTCGTGGGACATAAAGAAGTCCTTTTTGCATTGTATTAAACCAGCAATGGAAAAAAATCTTTCTCTGGGTGTACTGGTTGCAGGTATAGAAAGAACCTTCCTAGCTAAATCAGCAAGCATAGGAAGTTCCAGTCGCTTTTTTTTCCAAAAGATTAATGCATCCTCTTCTGGGATATTATTTTGGCTGAGCAAAATATGGCATTCTTGTTCAAGATTACTAATATTGTTATAATAGTTAATGGAAGGGAATGTTTACGAGCTAATTTAGCTATATAAGAGCTTGATGTTTGACCATTATCCTTAACTTGAATTACACTCTGTGCATTTCTATCATGCTCTAAAAGTTTTAAATGTCGAATTAAAAATTGCAATGATGTCGTAAAATTCGAATTTAATTGAAACAATTTTAAGATTTTGGAATCTGGTATCAAATAGAGTCACTAACTAAAGTTTAAAATATAATTTTATTTATAAAAATATAAAATAACTTGAAGTTCAGTAATGGGAAACCTATGGTCAAGCTTTTTTTCAAGCAATCAGATCTATTGCTTTGTAGGGTATCTATTTTACTGCAATATAATAACCCTAGTTTATTGTCGATCCCTTGGGGGAAAGAAATTCCATCGACTCTCAGGGATTCAATACTTCGTAAAGCTCGTCAATCTCCCATTTATTATTTAGGAGTTTTAAAGATTGTTTTCCTATTTTATTTAGAACATTTATAGGAATTTTATTTACATTGCGAACAATTTCTAGCATAATTAATATGCTGTGCCAGCAGGTAAGGCAATTTAATTTTAAAGTTTTTGTATTAATTAGATTGGTTGGTGCAATGCCATTTCTATTATTCGATTCATCAGACATATCAAAATGATCATCAAAGTATGGATCAGAATCATCAATATCCAAAATAGGACCTGTCTCAAATTGACTGCAGACTATGGGTTTACCGATACCACTTTTTGGAGGCCGATCCGGTCTGATATTCCCAATATTAAATTGATATCAGCCGATTACCGATCCGATATCATATATAATATTGTATTCTGTAAAGATACCAATGGTTTTAATTTTTAATATACTTTTTATTAGTATACCATCTATATTAACTATACCATAACTTATGTCATTTAAATATATTATAATGATCAGTTATAGTTTATATTCAATTCAATAAAATATTTTTATTGTTAAATCACTTTTATATAATAGGTAATACATATTAATCTATATACATAATAAGTAATAAACAAATATATGAAATTTGAAATATATCAAAGATTTCTTTTTAGAAATACCAAAAATAAGTAATAAACAAATATATGAAATTTGAAATATATCAAAGATTTCTTTTTAGAAATACCAAAATTTCCAATTTATCAGAGGTCAGCCTGCGGCGATGGTAACTGTCAATATCACCAGCTTCACTAAAAACTGATTCGGAAGAGATTATCGCACACTTTTATTAACAGAATGCCCAAAATAAATAACAATATGGCAGAATGTTAATTAATTAATTAATTATTATTAAAAAATATTACATAAAAATGGATTATGATTTTATTTATAAAAATAAATGATTTTAGCTATACTTTAAAAAAAAAATTTTATAACATTTTATTTTTGTTAAAGACGCCATTTTATATCAGATCGGAAAATTTTATAATATTGGCCGATAACCGATAGTTTAAAATGGGTGACATATCGGCCCTATCCGATAAAAAATATCGGTACATCCCTACTGCAGACATTTACGATGCTCTTCCTCAATTTCACATTCCAAATCTACTCGATATCTGAGGGCTGAAATAATTTTTCTAATTTTTTATTGGATTATGTTTATCCGAATCTTCCTCATCTTTTTTTCCCAATTTTAAGTTAGGTTCACAATAGATATAATCAGGCATTATTGTGCTTTTCTTATTTTCATTCATCAAAATAAGATTTCCAAAGTACCTTTAGTCATAACTTGATTTATGATTAGTAGTGAGAGTTGTTATTTCATTTTATATAGGGTGGTTTTAAACGTGCAAGTCCATAAAAATAATTAATATTTATTGTTTGTGGATATGAAATATGATTTAGGAATGAATGTAAATGATATACATTATTCTATAATATATATCAATAGAATACAATTTATATATTATTATTAATGTTGATATTCAAATTTAAATAATAATAATTTAATATATAAATGTAATTAAAAAGAATTCTAAAAATTATACACGCCGCGTCGCCGCCATAAAAAAAATTGGCGGCGAGCTGGCTCGCGCCGATGATCTCAACCAGCGGCTGTTTTGGCGTGAATAAAATAATTAGGCGTCTAACCCCCCCCCCTCCTCCCAGAGCTAATAAAATGCAGGTTATTAAAATATTTTTAAAAAGCTTTCGCGATTAATTAATCACTGATTTTATGGAGTTAGCGAAGCCTAATATAAGTGCTCTTATTGAATGGGTGGAATGGCCTAAAAATCTTCTCTTCAGAAGAAGACGCCTAATTGGAATCGATAAGAATTCCCAATTTTTTTGCATTAAAATGTATCAATAATGTCACGGTATTCCGCTGCCACCATGTTGTGGTAGGCAGGGAGTTGATGAATATATTTTATTTTATAAATAGTTAAAAGTATCAAAATATATTTATATCTGTCTAAAGTATCAAATTCTTATTATATAAATAAATTTGAATTATGATAAATGAAAAAGATATAAATAATAATATACCGGGTTTCCCATTTAACCCTGTATTGCATACTGTGTATCTCAAGCCACATACCACAAATTATATAATAAATATTTTATAAATAAATTTTAAATCAATTGCATGGTGTGTATTTGAAGCCATATTCTATATCTTCGATTGGAATTTTAATTTGGGCCACGTGATCTATTATTTATTTTTAATTTCGCATTTTATTAAACCCTATTTTTAAAAATGGCTATTTTTTTATAAAATTTTTCTTCTCAATTTTCTACACATCGTAAAAGGATAAATAATATATTTGACAAATTTCAAAACATTAAAATTAGATAAATAAAAGGTAAAAATTAATGTTTATGAAATTATTTTATATATATTTATTATTTTTGATAATTATATTTTGTAATAATCATACGTTGCTTTAAAGACACATTATGCAAATAAGGTATTTTATTTGAGTTTTATATTTTTAGAATTATGAATTGTGGTACCATACCTAATGATAGTGAAGATTCAAATTTAAGTGAATCGTCTGATGAGGAGTTTCTGTCAACCCAAAATAATGATTTAGGTATATTTAAAATGTATGCTCTTATATAATCTATAAATATCTAGATTTCAATGAGAGTGATGAATCGGAAGAGGATGAAAATATAAATAATGAAAAAGGAATCGTGAGAAAAATGATTTGGAAAAATTGCTTAACTAATTTACCATTAGTTATTCCAAAGTGGAAAGGAGAAAACCCAACGGTTGATAAAGTAAAAAAACAATGGATTATTATAATACATATCTCAATGATTTATTACCTCTAATTGTTTACGAATCAAATTTATATGCAATTCAATATAATTCCAACAAACCTTTGAATTTATCGATAGATGAATTAGAAAAATTTATAGGAATTATTTTTTACATGTCAATTATTAAACTTCCCAGAGCACGTCTCTACTGGGCCACCAATACAAGACAGGCCAAGGTGGCTGATGTCATGACCCTAAATCGCTGGGAACAAATCAAATCATTCATTCATATAAATGATAATGACAAATTTATTCCACTTGGAAGTGAGGGCCATGACCCACTTCATAAAATTAGACCCTTGATAACTATAACCAATAATATACTAAAATCTTTATCGATAGGGGAAAATATTTGCGTAGATGAGCAAATAATTCCATACAAAGGGATGAGCAGATTAAAGCAATATAACCCCCAAAAGCCCAAAAAATGGGGCTATAAAGTCTTTCTACTATGCGGAGATGATGGCCTTCTCCATAATTTTGAAGTATACTCTGGGAAAATACTACCAGCGGAAGGATTGCCTGATGTTGGAGCAAGTGGCAATGCTGTGCTACGTTTAATTTCTTATATACCACAGCAAATTAATTATAAATTATTTTTTGATAACTGGTTTTGTTCACCAAATTTGCAAGTCGTACTCGCTCAAAGAGGGATATTTTGCGCGGCCACGGTCAGAGGTAATCGACTACCAAATATCAACTTCCCAACAGATAAGGAGTTGAAAAAAAAGGACGAGGATTTTTTGTTTCAAAAAAACAATAATAAACGGGGTTGAATTAAATTCAGTGAAGTGGCACGACAATCGTGCTGTGACCTTATTGAGCACTTTTGTAGGTGCACATCCTCTTATCGATTGCGAAAGATATGATAGAAAAAAAAAGGATAAAATAATGATAAAATGTCCAAACATTGTTAAAGTTTATAATAAATCAATGGGAGGTG